GACTGTTACGGTCACTCCGTGAGTCAGCCCAGCAGCCCAGGCGTATGGAGCTCAGTCAGCACCGGCAGCCCGTTCGGACCGGATCCACCGTGCGTCCAGCCGAGCTGCACCGACAGCGACTCCGAGGACGACACCGCGGCTCCCGGCACTACACGATGACAGTCATGGTCGCTGTTTTTATCCCCCTCCACCTTGCTCAAATGAAAAGATTTGTTTTACTTGAGTAATATATTAAAGTGTATCTCTAGTATCTACATCAAAAGATGAACTAAATATATAATGCCCAAATAACCATATTCTATTTAGTTTTACTATTTAAAATAACGTAGCTCTGCTTCATAATTCTGTTTTTGTTGTATAAACAAAATGCAACGAAACATAGGCTATTCCTCTTGACGAGACAAGAGAATAAATACCAACGTGCGAGCCTCGCGGTCTTTGGGTGACTTCCCGCGAGAGTTTGCGGATTTCGGCCAGCTAAGAGGGCGAAATGGAGATATGAGGTCTGAAAAGGAGCAGAGGACAGGAAGCAGGGAGAGAGGCAGCGTGGAGATCCAGTTCAGAGAGTGTCAGAGGGAGCAGGACAACGTCGCGGTGAACCCGAGGCACAAGGAGGAGAAAAAGGAGATCTTCACCAAGGTAAGTGGCGCAGTTGTTTGGTAGGCTGGGAGAGTGATGAGGATGATGATGATGGAGGGAACGGGATTCAGCACCATAGACAGCGAAAACGCAGGACAGCCGGACGAAGCGAAGATCCCAGTGGCATCAATCATTGCATTCCTACGCAATTACCCTTTTGGGTGGATTAATTAAATCCAGGCGTTGAATATTTATATGCATCTAGAATTTTAGAAAAGAGCACAGTCAATGGTGCAATAGACATTAGAAAATGTATATATTTAATATTTATATATTGCCAATGTATGTGTGTAAACTTAAGGGATAATTCTGACATTATTTACTCACACTCATGTATAACTCACATTTATGGAACACATGAAATATTTAAATAATGTACTGTTAGTTTTTTTCCCATGCATTTGCAATTAATGAGGACTGGATTAAAAAATTATTAAAAATGACATGAAAGGACCATAACAGAATTCTGTTTGGTTCATGTACAGGGATTTTGGACTCTTCAATAAAATTAGACTGTAATAAGTGAAGAAATGAGAAATGTTCACAGCCCCTCCTCAGCACAAATTTTTTTGTTTTACACACACATTATGGCATGTTCGTTTTTGTTATTGCCATTTTATTTCTAATATTTGCAACTATTATTTTGTAATTGTGGGTGCTGATCTTGCTTTGATTTTGATGATTTTTTTTAGTTCAATTTTGTTTAAAACATGCTTCTTTTTATATAGGTTGTCATACGCCGACTGCCACCCAGTCTATCAAAAGACCAGCTCGAGGAGCATCTGAGTCCTCTTCCATCTTTTGACTATTTCGAGTTCTTCCCCGCTGATCAGAGGTATATTTGGTTTGTGTATATGAATATACTGTGATCAGGAGCACTGTCAGCCTCTTATACATGTGCATGTCTTTATATATTTAATTTCCTCAGCTTATACCCACATCTCTTCTCAAGAGCATACATCAACTTCAAAAACCCAGAGGATATCATTATTTTCAGAGATCGCTTTGATGGCTATGTATTCATTGACAATAAAGGTAATTCATTTTCATAGTTATTTTTTTTATTTTTATTTTTTACTGTTTATTACCCCTCAAACTAGTTAAAGGGGTCCTATTATGCTTTTTCACTTTTTCAACTTT